AACGCAATTCAGGTGTGGGGTGGATGAGGGTGACACAGAGGCCTTCCATCAAGGCTGACCTCTGTCCCTAATCCTCCTGGCTGATCTGCCGGTCCTCACTGCCACCACTTAGCCATCATCCTTGTACCCAGGTGCTGCTGGCTGAACAGTCACTCATTCAGAAAATATCTCCCATATGACTTCCAGGTGGCAATTCTAGGCACTGAGGGCACAGCAGTGAACAAGACACACTAGGTTCCCGTCCCTGGGGTGGCGTTGTGGGGGGGTCGCAATTCTGGCCTGTGCTCAACTGGCTTTCCAGTTTCCTTCCACTGAAAGTTGGGCTGCTGATATTAGATAAAGTTTCTAGTGAGCTGTGAGCTGCTGGGCCTTGTGCACCCTAACTATAACGTGAAGGATTTGCCTCTGGCTCCAAATTCAACATTTATGGGGATTATGGCATGTGCTCAGAAACTGGAAAGAGAAACTGTCTTCCGTTACAGCCCATGTTCTCCGCCTCGCTCCCCTCCCTCCCCCCGCCTCACAAATGGGTAGAACCTAAAGATCGTCAACGATCCACCCTTGCCTGGCGTGACCTCAGAAGAGAAGGTCAGCCATCAACATTTACCTTGACTGAGCTGACCGTTGCCTTAAACACTGCAACTGTTCACTCCTTTCTGTTAATTGTGGATGGAGCTGGTGTGCAGCTGACTGTGGGTCGTGCCTCCGTGACATGGCACCTGGGCAATGTGTGGGCCCTACCTGAGCTTCTGGAGAGGAGCAAACACCATAGCTTTTCCCTCCTGCCAAGTCCCTTTCTGTAAATCTTTCCCTCTTTGCAACAAAGGAAGGAGGTCCTGGGCCCAGGGTTTTGGTGGACATTGGAGTTGCTGGTTCTGGGAATTAGAACCATTTACTCTATCTTTCTGAGCTTCCTGTTCTCTCCGTGTGGAGGAGAGTGGTCACACCAGCCTCCTATGGGAGAAGAGTGTTGCCGGACCTGGCGACCATCCGGGAGCTGCTCTTAGTAGTGGCATTACTGTGCCTGCAAGCTCCCAGGGCCACCTCAGGGAGTCCTCAGGGCTGCTGGAGTGTCCTGCCATCTGTGTGCAGGGAGCAAGTGGTGGACCCGCGTGCAGGGGACACTGGGGGAGGCACAGGCTAAGCGGACTGGCCCGGCTCTCTTTCAGGCTCAACTTCTGGACACTTTCAAAGAATTGCTATTCAATTGACATTTCTTGTTCTGTTTGCACTATGTAGCATCCCTCCTGGGATGGTGTAACTACCAGAGGGCGTCAGAGCTGAGCCATCCAAGACGGCAGCCACCAGCCATATGTCGCTATTGTAACTTAAACTCAAGTTAGGTCAAATGAGCCACCTTCTTAGTGCTCCCTAACCATGAGCTGTTGTACAGGACACTCAGATACAGAACATCTCCACCATCGTTCCAGGTCTCCTGGGCTTTCCCAATCACGCAAAGGGTTGTTTTGAACTCTAACGAGGGCAGTAGAGTGGTCAATGTCCGTTGGACATTCACTTTGGATTTATCCTTCCTTTTCCTATTTGGACGGAAGTTCCCAGACTTGTCTCCTTTTCGTCACCCTTTTTGTAGACCCTGGCAGTGATAAGGTCTCTGGGATAGCAGTTATGGAGTCTGGGGGGAGTGGGCCCACCCGATTGGTAAGGGTTTCAAAGTCCCCAGGGAAGTCTTACTGCCCTCAGACCCTTTGATGTGGGCTGAGCCTCACTTCCTCTCCAGTGGGGGATCATTGAGTATACTGAGAGGCCCCTCAAGTGGTGGGGTGTTGGCATCAGGGAACCTGGGTTCGAATCCCAGTTTGGCTATTCAATAGCTAGGTCTTCTTTGGCATACCCTTAAACTCTCTGAGCCTTTCCTCACCTGTAATAACACTGTCCAGCTGAGAGGAGGGCTCTCTGATGTAGAGCCTAACGTAGGGCCCAAGGGCACAGCAGGAGCTCCTGAAGGCCAATATCATCTAATGAAACACACTGGGATTTGCAGATGGGATTTGTTTCAAGTCCTGGTCAGACCTTTGTAACCTTGAGCACATTTCTCATGTTTTCTGCCTCTTGGCTTCCTCCCCCGTTTCGAGGTAACAATGATCATACATGTATTCTGGACTTACAAGGATGAAACACACATAGTTTATGTAAAAGCCCTCCCACCAGCCACCTTGGAGACACTTCTCCCTGAGACACAGCATGGAACCACTTTGCTATTCATACCACAAAATATTCATAGCCTGCCTGCGTGAGGTAAGGCATACCATCAATAGGCTGGCTGGCTAGGAAGCTTAGGCAGATGTAAAGCACATGGCACACAGTAGGTGCCCAATAAAAGCTAATTGCTTCTTTCACTTAAACTTGACCTTGACTGAGTCAACCTTGACTTTGACCAAGTGACCTTGACCTAGTCAAATTTGTCTGGGACACAGTGAAAACTGTAGGACCAGACTGAGGAGCACAAGGATGAACAGAAATTTCGTAGGTACATGGCAGCCTTGGGAAAAGGGACAGGAATGCAGCCAAGCTGCTGATTTTACTGGCACATGAAATGCCATGCAGCCCTGTTTAAAAAGTTATTAGAGAAAGGACTTGCTCTGATGCTTTCCTATTCCACCTAGTGCTGACAGCAGCTCTGCTTATGAGATCATGGTCTGGTCCAGGGAAGACCCATGCAGCTCTGTAACACCCACTTGGTACCACTTTCTGGGAGCCTGGCAAGTGATCAGTGAGGATGCTGGCCCAACACTGGGTGGGACATTGGGAAGAGAGTGTGGGTCCCAGGGACTCACAATTTTGAATTCATATAGGAATCAATTATGGTATCCAAAATTCCAGGAGATTATCATCTTTCCTTTTCTCATGAGCATGAATTAGGAGCGTCCAAAGTCATGGAGGAGAAGGAAGGGCCAAGTTACATTTATTGAGTGCCTACTAGATACCAGTTTTACATTTGTTGTCTCACTAAGGTCTCCTAGCAGCTTGGTGAGAAAAGAGTTATTAGACCCATTTTACTGCGAGGAAAGAGAGAAGAGGTTTTCGCTTTGGGGACATAAGGAAAGAATTCCAGTTGGTGTAAGAATTTAGACAGAAGAATGACCCCCCCCGCCCCCAGTATTAACTTTCCTAACTTATAAGGAAAACGTAGCTTCTCCTTTGATTCTGAATGCAGGCCACTTGCCAGAGCAGTATCAGCACTCCCTTAGAGTTTGAAGAGCCCAGAGATGTTCATATTCCATTACAATGACTGACAGTATCTTATAGTAACATTTTGGTCATCATCCCTGTTCTGAAATGATTGTGGCCATTAGGCTTGCCACCGGGAGCTTTTTATGTAATGTGTTGCTAAGAGAAAGGACATATATTACTTCATCACAGATTTGGTTTTCCAAAACTTTTATACCTGGTTTTCAGTGTCATTGGCTTCCTTTGTAGTGCTATGTATTTTATCTAGTGCATCTAAAGACGTCATACTGAGATGGGGTCCACAGACATCACCTATCCTGCCACAGAGGCCAGGGTACAAAGGCTGAGAATTGTTAAAAGAGAGGTCAGGGAGGTCAAAAGTATCGTCCAGTTTGGTGAAATCAAGACTGGAATCTAGGTCTGTAACCGACTACACAACTCCCGAGGATCCAAGACTGAGGGCGAGTGGAGAGGGAGGATGTACGGTGACAGTCTGACTCTGGCCAAGCTCAGATGACCAACAGAAATGAGGCTGCTGTGGGGTGGTTAGAGAGATGCATTTTATCATTGTTTAAATGACATAAGCATAGGTGTATTCTCAGAACGCACCATTATGCAACAGTGAAAGTAAATGAACTCCCACTACACACGAGAACGTGAATGGATCTCATAAACATAACGTTGGGTCAGAGAAATCGGACACATCCATATTGGGTGATTCTACTTAGATAAAGTCCAAGAAGTGGCAAAGCTAATCTATAGGGGAAGGAATGAAAACAATGAGTGTCTATAACATGTGGCGATTAACTAACTGGAAGGGGGCACATGGGATCTTTCTGGGGCAATGGAACGTTCCATCACTTGATCAGGTGGTGGTTACCCAGATGTGTACATCAAAACTCAAGTAATACATTTAAGTTCTGTGCATTTCATCGTATGTAAACAATATCTCAACTGAAAATAATGATAAACATTGCTATTTCCATCTCACTGATGAATTGATGAGGAGAGAAATGAAATACAAAGGGGTCCTCATTGTCCAATCCTCTTGCCATGATGGGAAGTTAAAAGAAAAGTAGGTGCAGGTGATCAGCACGGTGGTTTCTGTGTAAATGCCTCACTCACATCCCTCCAGATGGCTATCCATCTCACTCAACATCAAATCAAGTCCTTAAGTTGCCCCACAAGTAGACTGAATAAGTAAATTGTGTTTAGTCATACAATAGAACATTATTCAACAATGACTATAAATGACTACAAGTAGTCGATTATAAATGATTATAAATGACTATAAATAATTATAAATGACTACACACTAAATATGATTGAAGCTTTCTGAGCTAAAGAGTCTACATATAAAGGAGAAGATAGTGTCTGATTCCATTTACATTAGGTATAAAATGAGCAAAATAATCTATGGAGTTTTAAGGTTACTGTTGGGGAGACAATGATGGAAGGAGACATAAGGGGCATCTGGGATATCGGTCATGATCATGGTCTGTTTACCGATCTGGGACCTGGTTACACTGGATGACTTGTGCACTCAAAAATATGGTACAATAAAAAAAAAAATTAAAAGAAAATACGGTATAAGCCACTGAAACAGTAAAGGATCATACTTCAGACCAGGGGTTCCGAGCCCCCTAATGGTGTTCTATGTATGTGGGGCTCCCTGGAGTTATGTCTCTCTACAGCTCTGACTGGAAGTTGATTGTCTCTGATTCAAATCCAGTGCATCTCAAGCTGACAGAGAGGGAATCTTTTGCCCAGGCCATAGCACCCTCTCTGGGATATTTTCCACATGCACTTACTCAGGATCCTGCACGGAGCCTCCCACACAGTGGAATCTCTCAGGCACAGTTTTCCAGTCTTTAGCCATTTTCACCATGGCACCCGCATCAAGGACCCCGTAGCCAAAGAGGTGATTAAACTCCAGGCCAACCCCATTCCTCCGCCATTGATGGACCTCGTCGTGAAGCTGATTCCGTTTGGAGGTGAGCACAGTCAGATGCTGCATGTCTCTCCAGGTCAGACCCAGGCTGGATACCGGAGGCAGAAAGATTCAAGAGCACGGCAAGGGGGGAGCGCACAAGGTAGGAGAGAGAGGGAAAGAGACACAATGACTAAGATAGAACATAGACCCCATGTAGGATTTTGGAACATCTATGAACCTGCAAGTAAGGGGAGGATTTCCACACATCATTTAGAACCATTATACATATAAATTTCAAAATCTTGCCTTTCTTACTTAAATAAATTTACTTCAAATGCACATTTTAACACACACTGGAATGGCTGAACTGAACTGAAAAAGACTGACAATACTAAGTGTTGGCAAGGATGTGAAGCCTCTGGATCTCGCATACTTTGTAGATGGATAGGTAAATTACTGCAAACATTTTGGAAAACTGCTTGACTGTATCTTCTTATGTTGTGCAAGTGTCTAAGCTGTGGCCTAGAAGTTCCATTCCTAGGTATGCATCCCACATAAATGTGTGTATATATCCACCTGACATGTGTATTGGAATGTTCATGGGCCCAAATTACAAAGTTCCCAAATGTCCAACCACAATAAAATGAATAAACCAATGGAGATGTATTTGCAGGATGTGAAATACTGTTCTACCATAAGAACAAATGAACCACAGCTACTCTGAATAATACAGATGGATTTTGCAAATAGAATGTCAACCTAAAGAAGCCAGACCTAGTAGAAAACATTCTGTATCATTCCATTTTTTTAAAGTATAATACCAGACCCAAGTAATCTATGCTGTTAGCAGTCAAGTTAGTGGTTAGTCTTGGGATGAGGGATTGGATAGTGGTGCAAGGGAGCTTCTGGGTGCTGGCAGTGCTCTGTTTCTTGATCTGGGTGTTGGCTACATGGATATGCTCCATTTGTGAAAATGAGGCTGTCATTTCTTCAACAGCAAAGATTGTACCTTCAGTATATATTTATCCCCAGTGCCCAGGACAGCAGCCCTTGGTACACTGTTTGTCCAGTGGATAAACAAATCTTTTTGCAGGTGCCACTGTCTTGAGAAATCAGTGTCTAGTATTACTCATTGCCTGTGTTTTTCAAAGTGCAAGTCAGACCCATTTGTGGGACAGGAAATCAATTTACTGCATAGATTATCTACCTGGGCTGCGTATTAAAATCTCCTGGTGAGGACATTAAAATCCCATTGCTTAGGCCACATCTTAGACAAATTAAGTCAGAACCTTGGGGAGTGGGACCCAGACTTTGGAAATTGTGAACACTTTCCAGGTCATTCTAGTAGACAGAGAGCTAAGCTTGAGAACCAGTGATTTAATGAACAGGACTATCATTAAAAAATGAGCAGAATAGAACAGAAAAGAGTAACAGTGTGGATTGCATGTAATACAAGAAACTATTTTTCATAAAACTCTGTGTGTGTATGTGTATGTTGTGGGTTGCAACACAAAATTTATTTCAAATCAAAAAGCTGGAACAACGCTGCACTGTTGTTCTTGTTGGAAGTCAGATAATTCAAGACTAGGAACAACATAACTCATTTGATAAAATTTCAGCATATGCAGCATTCACTGGTTTGAAGTTTTGAATTAGAACCAAAAGATACCAATGATTCATGTCCTCTTGCAGGGTAGACCTTCAGCGGTTAAGGAGAAAGTTTCAAGGAGGACCACCACTCATTTTAGAAATTTATAAACATATCTTGGATATATGGTCCCTAGGACCCAAGTGAATGGTGTGAAACTTCAAGAAGTTGATTACAGTGAGTATTTTGCCAGAGTGGGATTCTGAATTCATTAAATACAGAAGTGTTGATAAATGAGAATCTGGTGATCTTGAGATGATCTGGCTAACAGGTGGATTATCTACCATCTTTGCTAAGGGTTTGGCCACAAAAATCTGCTATGCTTCCTGGAGCTTGGAGAGGGATGTTAGACATTGGAGATAGACGTTTCTCCGTGGATTTGTTCTCATGGGGCCCATGAGAGAGACAGAGAGAACCAGTCAGAACCAAGATCTTCTCACTTCTGGAATAAATCAGAGGTAGTCTATATTCTCATGCTATTGAGTCGGTGACACTGATTGGCCAGCCATTTATGTATGTCTGAGAGGTAAAACTAAGTCCCTCCTCATTCCCCCTTCTGAGCAATTTCAGAGTTGACAGCATACACTACTGTGTGAAACAGTATTTCTTCCATCTGCATAAAGCTTTATTCTTACCATAGTAGGGCAAGAATTATAGGTCATACTTATTAAATAATAAAAAACTAAATTTACAGATTATCTACAATATAAAGGTCACCGTGAACAGTGTTATAGGACTAATAACATGACATGTTCTTCCTCGTTCTCAAGCATTTAATAGTTTGGAGAATAAGGCACAGATATATGGTAAGGTACTGCACAGTGAAATAATTCCATAAAGGTCCATTAAGCGTCTATCAGGTCCAGGCACTGTTTTGGCTGAAGGTCCTCCTTAGGAAGGTCCCTGCTCTCTCAAAGCCTACAGTCCAGGGGGACAGAGAGACAACTCAATATTTTAAAAGGGAGGGCTGCCACGATGGGGGAGCTCTCAAGGGCAAGAAAACCACCAGTGGGGTCCCTGTGTTATCCCAGTCAGGGGGCTTCAGACTGTGACCCTGAGCTGCTTGCATCAGAATCATGTGGGGACTAGTGACAAATTTAGATTCCTGCCCCATGTCCTTTTAAGATAAGACAACAGATTTCCAGAGGAGGTGAATAATCACCCACTTAGATGCTGGAAGATTCAACTATTGTCTCCCTCATGTATATCCTCCCTTTTCCCTATTAAGAAACCCTCAATTTTATTCAGAACAGCAATATCATTAGCTCCGAAGCTAAGTTTCCCAGCCTCCTTTGTAGTCTAGGGTGGTCCCTTGAGGACTGTGGTCAATTAGAAGTAGGCAAAATCTACTGGATGGGGCTTTTTTGAAAAACCTTTAAACAAGGCTGACTCAGCTGGTGGATTTCTTTTTTCCCTTTGCTTTTCTTGTTCTCCTATCTGAAATGTAAACTTGATGGCTAGCGCCCCAACAGCATCTGGAGAACATGAAGGTGGAAGAGCAGAGATCTAGGAAGAGCTAGATTCCCCAAATCCCAGTGGCACCCCCCATGGTAGCCCTGGGCTCCCAACCTCTGTATTATATTTCCCGTGACAGAAAAAAAAAACCCTGTCTCAGTTTAGCTCTTGTTATCTGGGATTTTGTTTCCAATCTTGACCTAGCCAGAGGCAGAGTCCAGACATTCAGCTGCCATACAACAGTATCCGGATTCACAGGTTCATAGAGTTCTTGCTTTACTGGATGCCCAGGACTGGAGTCCCTGGAACAGGGCTTGAAAAGACAGATTCCTGGGCCATCCAGTGCCAGAGATTTCCATTCAGTGACTCTTAGCTGAGATGTAGGAATGTATTATTTTCAAAACTAGCCCCCACCCCCAGTGCTTCACTTCTCCAGTTATCAGGGAAATGTAAATTAAAACTATAATACAGTTCCACTGAACACTCATATGAATGGCTAAAGTGTGGAAGACTGGCAATACCAAGTGTTGGCAAGGATGTGGGGCACCTGTAACTCACACTGCCAGAGGGATGGTAATGGTTACCCCCACTGTGTAAAACTCTTTCGGGGTATCTACAGGAACTGTGCATATGTATACCCCATGACTCAGCCTTTTGACTCCCTAGTATAAACCCAACAGAAACACATCCCTATGTTCACCAAAAGACGTGTAAGCATGTTCATAGCAATAGGACTCATAATGGCCCTCAACTGGAAACAACCCAAGGATTCATTTATACAGTGGAGTAATTCACAATGAGTATGAACAACCTATAACCACATAGAACAGTATGGAGGAATCTCTCAGATGTGTTATTACGCAAAAGAGCACACCCGGTGCTTAGGTAATGGTTTGTTGCTTGATTCGGATGCTGGTTACATGGGTCTATTAATTTCGTAGGAAGTCATTGAGCTGTATCTAACATTTGTGCCCTTTCCTCTGGGTCTATTGTACTTCAATAAAGAGTATAAAAAAAAATCTGTCTCCCAAAAGGTCAGTTTTGGAAACATTATTTTAGTCCCGTATGTGGGCCACTTTACTGATGGTTCTCTAAAGCCAAAAATCGGCCTCTTTATGACGGACCCTTCAAACCTAGTTCAGCCCTCTAGAAACACACAGAAAGCTCTGGGTCCCAGACGGACCCCACCCCACCCTCACCCTCCCACCCTCTGGGGCAAAAAAATCATTTGAAATTTTTTCTAGTGTTGATCACACTGGGAAATATAAGTAATATTCCCTGGGACTCAAGAAGTCATTTTCAAGCATTTGTCAGAAAAGTACTTTATGAAAGTAGTGACTGGGAGGGACAAAGGAAAAATGGCTTCCCTTTTTTCCCCTGGGAGTCCTGGGGGTGGTTGTTCCTCTTTTGTGGTTCTGATGGGTATAGATTTACATGGAATAATTTGTTTATTGCATTCGAATTGCTTTGGAAAAGCTTTCTGATTGGACCTGTGGGTGGCCAGCAGCCCTCAACAGCTGTCCTATGTTGCCAAGAACTTCTAGCTGTCTGGTATCACAATAACGAGAGATTAGCTGTAGGAACTGTTCATGGAGTGGCTTTCCCTCTTGCTCCCTCTGGACTCTCTCTTAGGGCTGCTTTGTTCTGACCATTGGTTTTAACTGCTGGCTGCTAGAGACGCTTTGCTATAGGTATAGAAAGCCAGAAATCCCTTGGAGTTTCCTTCCCAGGGCATGGGTCTCAGCTGGTGACAGACCAGCGCCAGAACATAGCAGCCCAGCATCCTTGCCTTGAGGAAGAACAAGTCCTGAGGCATCATCTACACTGCAGAGCTCCCCATGGGATCGAGCTGAGGCCAGAACTTCTGAAATTGCTTCCTTGCTTGGATTTTCCCCCATCCTTAACCTGCATCCTCTACTTTAGCCTGGTTTCTCTGGAGAGCCCTTCCTTAATAAACTGCCTGCACCAACTTTTGTCTCCGGGGCTGTCCCTCACATCAGGCAGTTGGTGTTCTCAGGAATTTTAGGACTAGATCCTACAATGGACTTGAACCACTACCTGTCAGGTATCACTTTTTTCCTGTTTATGGCAAGAAAGAATTAAAATCATGACCATTGCTCCGAAACAAAACAGACCTGCATGGTGACTTCTTTTCTGTAAGGCTATCTGCAACCATGTGTCAAAGAATGGTGACTCATTCTTGCAGAGCCCATGAGCCTGTTCAGAGATCCAACAGCCTTGTTCCATTACTTTATCAATTTGGACTGTCCCTTTGTGTGCATAAAGGCCTAAGCAATTGACTTTTTGCTCTCCAAAATGTAGGGAGACTTGAGTCAAGGTCTACCTTCTTAGATTTAAAGGGTGACCAGAACCCCCTTCTCAGTTCTGGAGCACCCCTTCTTCCTGTTCTCTGCAAGGCTCAACAGCAGGTTCCCTCTCTTTATCTGCTCCTGGCTGGAGTGAGCAGAGCCAGCTCGGACACCCGGGGCCAGATAGACCTTGAGATGAACTGTTTCATCTTCAAGAAGTTTTAGTCTCCTCACTTAATAGAAACACACTTCCATCAGCGTCTGCTGGAATCCTAAGTTTTCCACATGACTTTTGTTAGAAGAATCAAAGGTTGGCCTGGTTCAAAGAGAGGAGTCACTTCCAATGTGGGGCCTTATCTGTAAAAGGAGAACGGTGATGCCTTTCCTGCTTGAAGACCGAGTATCAGACTAGAGAATCTTTCAAAGTCCTTTCCTATCTAAGAATCAACTCTTACCTCCTTTGTAAGTCAGAAATCACACTGTATTTATGGAGAGAAACGAGCAGGATTGCCCGGAGATGGATGCTAGAAGCTCCAGTTGCTCAGCAACGGCTGACAAGGATGGGAAATCAACACCCCTTCCCCAGGGGCCTGAATCCAACTTCTCACACTGGCTGGTGCTCCGTTCTTGAGCAGGCCCCCTGCAGCCTGGGCATACGTGCTCCCAGCACCTGGGTGATGCTTGAAGCCCACATGCTCATTCCTCAAACCCAGGGCCAGCCTCTGGCTTGCCCTAAGGGAAGACAAAATGACAGGTGGGCAGGAACCTCTGCTGAGGATCAAATTTAAGGTGTGTCCAGAAACAGCAATACGTGTCTTCTCCGTGGGATGGTGAGAACCGAGAGGACAGCCTCCTCTTACCTGTAACTTGGAAGGTTTCTCAGTAAAGTCCATTTCATGGTCTACCTTACATCAGTGTTGAAAGAGAACTCATAAGTTATAAGTTATAAGTTAACAAATCTTGAGTGAGAGCACCCTCCTTGCCACGGGTTCTGAAAGAGCTTGCTGGATACCAGTTTGGCAATAGTTTTCCTTCATTTAGCTGATTGTATTATTGAAGTAAAATAGCCAGAGAATCCGGAGAGGATAATACGATGATTTTCACAAAGAAAGAAAGATCTGTGTGTCCCTGCTTGGTCCTGAGCTCTCCTAAGGATGTTATTTGTGGACTGTGTGTGTTTATCATCTGGGGCCCATGGTTGCTTTAGAAATGTCCATCACAGTTCACTGGCCCTGACCCTCCACAGGCTCCCATACCCACTTTTGCCTCCACGGGCACCTGGGATTGGGTGGAGAGACACATGTTAGTCCACCCTCTGCCCCGAGATGGAAACATACTTAGCCTCTAAAGCCAGTGCAAACACTCCAGCTGCCTCAGGTGCAGCTGCGGATGTCCCAGAATGCCTCAGGGTGCAGTTGCCATACAAATCTGTAGTCGCCTGAAAGGGAAGATGTTCAGTAATGAGTGAAGAGGTCACTCTACTTCGAATCCCCTAACAATATGAAGCAGAGGATTATCTGTTTCTTTGATTTAAACTCTGCCTCGTTCTGAAGAAGATTAAGATAAAGGTAACAATAGGCTTAGCATCCATCTGTCTATCTTGCCACATATTTTATTTGAGCTTCCTAGTAGCCCATTCAAAAAGGGACAATCAGTTATAGTTATTAGTGTTCACAAGATAAAAAGAAGTCAAATGTTTCAAGACAAGCATATTTACAGTTATTCCAGAAACTAGAGAGACATTTATTTCTGGGATTCTGAAAGGAAAACCCCTATAGGTGGAAAGTGACAAGTCGGTACTACCACCAAATCCATGCAATGGGGAGGACTTTTGCACTGGGATTGGTTTGGAAAACCCAGATGCCATTGCATCATTTTTTTCCGTTCACAAACAAAAGGGTGTCCTTCCCAAAGATGGAAGAATAAACATGCTCAGCTGAAGTTTGCCTAGAAGGACAGGCCATTAAAAAGAGAATGTTTCTCTATATCTTATGAAGAGATGCTGGGATTCAGGAAGCCAAGATAGCAGATGTGTGAGAAATTGCTTCCACAGTTCTTAAGTGGGGAGACTGATCAAACAGGTTTTAAAGGGTTTTCACAAAGAGAAAAAAAAAGCCCTCATTTTTCAATGGGCCGGGGTGAAAGCAAGGGTTTTCATTATGATCACCTTTAAGCTACAGGAGTTCTCCTTCCTCTGTTTGTCTGTAGAATCCTCATATGGGCCTATTATTTTGAAGGACAAAGTACTAGGGAGGTTTAAGACAACTATTGGGGAAAATTACAATATTCAGGTAGAAGTCAAGGCCCTTCCCCAATCCAAGCAGAGAGTCATAGATAAGGTTGAGGACAAAGTGACACCCTTGGGGTAGGGAGTGACACTTTCTAGGGGGAGGTATGAAGCATCACAAGCACAACAGTATTGGGGTTTCCCTCGCTTTGTTTCTGCTTTGCTCTTTTCCCTTTCTGTCCATAGAGTTCCCCCAAGTTAGGAGAGGCTGAAGCCTCCTGCTTGGGAGGAGGAGGGACACTCGCTGTTCTCACCAAGACCAAAGAGAGAGCCAGGTCAAGTCTGTGTCCCTTCCGGGTAAAGAGACATCCTGGCTCACACGAGAGCCAGGCCAGCTTGCCAAGGCAGAGCCCAGGCAGGAATTTGGGACTGGAATTCTGGTTGGTAATCATGATTGTGTTCTGAGCTCCTTTCCTCCCTTGGGGGACCCCAGTGGAGGTAGGTGGCCAGTCGAGCTGTAGCTAAGCAGGACTACGGAACAAGCTCCCAAATTCCAGGCTGGAAGTTCTACGGAAAGGGTGATATGTGAGTGAACTACCCAGAGAGAGGAAGAGATCCAAAAAAATTCGTTATGTTCTCTAGATAAATATTTTAAGGGGACTTGGAAAATTCACCATATTACCAAGATGCCCAGGAAGGGAGTGCCGCTCAGAAAAATGCAATAAATAATCCAAGTCTGGGATTTTTAAACTTTTTGTTTCCTCAATCATGGATATATTTTAAAATATGGTGAAAACCACTACTGTTGCCTTGAAAAAATTCATGTGTGCACTGGAGGGCTTATGGACTTAGAGAAGTCCTCCAATGGAGGCTATTTTTTAATTGCTGTAATAAATGGATGGGTTCTTGGCTCAGATGGCACAACGGCCCAGTTGTTAATATTAGCTCTTTAAAGTGGTGTGCTGAGGCAACTTTTTGATCATTAGAGTTCACCACTTTTTGCAAGGCAAAACAATAAACAAGAAAGACAATCTATGGAAAATGAGCTGGAAAGAGATCACAATTATTGCTTCCAACTTGCACACCGCATGGCTCTACATTGGTAACAAAGCATTATCAGGCCTGGAAGACAATGGATCTCAAGAGCCTCCAAACAGGTGCAGACCCTTTGAGGGTAGGAGGGGAGAGCCCCTTCCTCTGGTGACGTCATCCAGTGGTAGCTCACGAAGTCACCCAGCGTCTGCATGGCGTCAGGCAGCACGGGTGCACTCCACTGCCTCCCCATGGGTGGGGACCACACTCACCACGCCGGCCTCGGGGTTCCTCTTCCTGCCGTTGCTGAAGGTGGAGGCCAAGGTGGAGGAACAGCTCTCGTCATACAGGGCGGTCCTGCCGTCATTGATGGCCGAGTTGATGGAGATGGTCCACATGCTGGAGGCGTAGCCGTCACAGTTGCAGTCGTCGTAGCTGCCACCGTCCCCGGAGGCCCACACGTAGATGCTGCCTTTGCCGCCTCGGCCCTGGGGTTGCGGGGTGGGGGGGGGGGGGGGCGCAGGGAGAGAGGCCACCAGGTTCCGCGCGCGCCTGCCCCGGGGCTGCCAGGGTCCTGGCCCAAGGAGGCGGCGGCTCCCGAGGGAGCTCAGGTACCAGCCTTCCTCAGCAGCTCGGTGTGATTCTGTCCCTCTGAAAAGCCATGCTGCTGCCCCTGAGGTCTTGAGCATTCTCGTTCTTGTGTCGGGAAGTTACCCTAATTTACTGTTTGAGGTGGGGGTCACCTCACCTCACCTTAAAATTTACAAGTAACCTTCTTTTAAAAAGCTGTACTTTTTACTCTGGTGAAAAAAACCAGAGTATATTGAAAAGAAAATTAAAGAAAAACCCTTCCTACTTGTAATCATTATTCCTCAATTCCTATTCCTCCTTTCAGACACTTTTCAGCAAAAACGTAAATGTACATATATGTTTATACTTAGCTCTGTAAGAGGTCAAAGATATTTATATATTTTTGATTTTATATATCGCTTATATATGCATTTACATATATATAGATGCACATTTTACTCCAAAATATAAAAATCTTGCAAATCATATGTATAGACATGCTCATGTGTGTATATATATATTTTTACCTGATTGGATCATACTAGAATTCTTTTGGGGGGTTGGGGTGGAGGGAGAGGGAGAAAGAGAATCCCAAGCAGGCTTCATGCCCAGTATGGAGCCCCACGTGGGACTCAACCTCATGACCTTGACATCATGACTTGGGTGGAAGTTAAAAGTCAGACTCGTAACTGACTGAGCCACCCAGGCGCCCCTAGAATTCCTTTAAGCACAGTAGTACATGACATTTTAACCTGTGTAAGGGAACACCAAATAGAGGAAGAAAGTTTAACATAAATAAAAATAACTTCAAATACATAATGATAGGCACAGTGATTACTGCCTATGCTAACTGGTTATGGATGGCAAGCTTAGTTACGAATACCTACGGTTCCCGTTGTTCTTCTGCTCAACCACATTCTTACTGCGTATGTTTTTCTTTTCCCGTTCTGACTTCTAGGACTATTCGTTTCATCTCCACAACCCAGAAGTGGCCCTTCCCTCGGGCTTCCTATGTTCTGACCCTGGGGGCAGTTGGGCAGGGGCTCCTCTTGTTCCCCTGCGGGCGAGGTGGGCACAGCAGGGCAGTGGTGTGGGAGGTGAGCACAGGTGGACAGCCTGGCCCAGGGTGGCTCTGTAACCCTCAAGGGCAAGAAGACACACTGCTGTGGCAGAAAAAGTCTGTCCCTGCATGGCCACCAGGGCACTATGGTCCTGACTCAGGGGCATCCTGGCAGAGATGCCAGACGGCTAGGAGATGACCAGATTACCTCCAAGATCTGTCTGCCAACTGACAGTGAGAAAAGACATTTCGATTGCTTCTAATAGGACTTGGAGTTAATTAGCCCGTGACTGACTTGAGTCGATACATCAACAAAGATTGATTCAGCCGCCAGCTGGGAACGGCCTGCTACGTCTTGGTCAGTCTATACTGGAAAACGCCATCGAAACCAGCTCTCAGAAACCAGGACAGAGAGGGAAGTTTACCATCCTGAGAGCTGGTACGGGATCGCTCTCTCAAACAGACTCACACTGGGCTCAACATCAAGCAGTGGCAGCCGATGAAAGCAAAACAGGTGTGAATTCGTGTGAATGGGCAAAGCCCACCAGTTGTGGAACTTCCCCCGACCCAAACCACAGTTGGGCTACTAGTGCGACAAAGAAACCTTTGCAAAAAGGAAATCAGCACCTTGTCACCGTGGTGTCGGGTGTGTGGGAGACAATTGTGACTCTCATTTGTCAGGCTTCTCTGTATTCATGCCTTCTTTACAATGTGACTTTGTAGTCCTGCCCTTGAATCTGGCTTCTCGTCTTTGCTTTGCTCGAGAGAAAGTGGTGGACAGTAGTGCTGTTGTCAGTTCCAAGCATAGGTCTCAAGAAGCTCTGTGCCTATCTCTTCTCTCTCAATTCTGTCGCACATGAAACAAACCTGTTAGCCTTCTAGTTGATGATAGAGCACAGTCAGATTCACTACCCCGGCAACACCCAGCAGACGTGAAGGAGGCCACCCCAGACGAGCCCATCTGTAGTTCACCCCCCAGGCTGACCACAGATGCATGTGTGAGACCAGCTTCGAGGAGCCGAGGCTGGCCCAGATTGGCAGAACAACCCAGCAGACCTAGAGACCCAGGAGTAGGATGTGAGTCGTGGTTACTTTAAACTATTGAGTTTTGGGGCAATTTGGCAAGCCGCTGGCTCACAGAGGGCAACTGTCAGCCTATTTCTTAAGAGTAAGCCGCAAACATTAGTTTTGCATTGTACTGTCAGACCTGCCCACAAGAATACTGGGGTTCCTAGGAATATTAAGCTTTGTTTTCCTAAGGGGTGTGTGTGTGTGTGTGTGTGTGTGTGTGTGTTTACATCAGGTAACAGTAGTTATATCCACGGTACTAGTGATTTGGTATCAGCACCAAATAGTCCCCAAATAGTCTGGGGACAGTCGCATGGGAAAAGGATATCTATAGAAGGACTAGAGGTGTGCTTCTCATAACCACATGGGATGGGTCTGTTATTGGCAAACCTCATTTTCCTGTAAAAATGATGCCCCAAGATCCACTTCTGCTCCTAGCTCCTACTGAACAGGAGCTGGGCAGAAACAGAGAAAGAACAACTAGGACCCATATTCCAACAATAATCAGTGGGACAATACCGTGGAAGAAACCAAGATGATAATCAGAAGCAGCACTACTAGGCCACTTCCTGCTCTAAGTACTTAGTACTAAGTACTAAGTAACATATTTAACTACACGTTAATCCTTACAGCAAGCCTACACGTGGCACCATTTATGTTAGCCACACAAAGGATAAAAAACATAGAAAGAAACTCACGAAATGAAAAAAAAAGGACAAAAAGAGCTAAGGACTAAATAAGACTTTGAAACTCTCTGGAGGGATACAGATGAAGATCTGACCCAATGGAAAGACACATCAACCTATCATGCTCTTGGATAGAAAGAAAGCATCCCAGAGATGTCCATTTTCCCCAAGTCAACTTATAAATTTAACATCCTATTATATGTACTGTATCAATCAAAATTCTGTCAGGCAAATATTGCCACACTGGGCAGTTCAACAGAGGGAATTTTATCCAGAGAACAGGTGGTCAAGGAGAACCAAAGCCCCGCTGGGGTGTGAGAGGCTCACCCAGAGACTCGGGAGGCAATGGCGTAGCAGTCTTCCCGGCAGGAGGGAGAGGGACCCGCGAGGGTGGGCTGTCTGCTGATATCCTCCCACCCTTGTTCCATAGTGCAGGTCAGACTTGCCCCGACCCTTTATTTACCGGAGTTCCCTTCTCCTGTCCTACTTTAATTTTTTTTTTTTAAGAAAGCAAGTGCATTTTGATGAAAAAAATACATGGTACAGCTTTACTTTGAATTCCGTCTTTGAACCAGGGGTCTCTTTGAACCAGAGTTTAGCGGGATTAGATTAATGTCTCTCAAAAGTTTTCATGAAATGAGTTTCTCACCTGGGGGGGATTTTGTGCTCCGACAGGACATGGGACACCACTGGGAGGCATTTTGGATGCTCATTGCTAGCATCTAGTAGGAAGATGTGTGTGCATGCACTATGAGCTTCTCATGGATAGAGGCCAAGGATGCTACTAAGCTTTTATGAGGCACCAGACAACCCCCCTACTACACCCACCCCCACACAAGGAACAACCATCCTGCCCAAAGTGTCAGCGGTGCCAAGGCTAACACTCTAACCTATTGGCAAAGGGCAGTTAGTTGGAACTTGTTTTTGTTTGTTTGTTTTTGTTTTTAAGATTTATTTATTTGAGAAAGAAAGAGACACAGATAGTGACAGAGATAGTGAGAGAGAGCATGGGCGGGGAGGAGAGGGAGAGGCAGGCTCTCACTGAGCAGGGAGCTTGATGTGGGGCTTAATCCCGGGACCCTGGGATCATGACTTGAGCCGGAGGCAGAGGCTTCACCCACTGAGCCACCCAGGTGTTCCTTGAACTTGCTCTTTTTTTTTTTTTCCTTTTTTTTTCCCATTTTTTTTAAATTTTATTTTTTATAAACATATATTTTTTCCCCAGGGGTACAGGTCTGTGAATCGCCAGGTTTACACACTTCACTGCACTCACCATAGCACATACCCTCCCCAATGTCCATAATAACCCCACCCCCCCAACCCCCCTCCCCCCAGCAACCCTCAGTTTGTTTTGTGAGATTAAGAGTCACTTATGGTTTATCTCCCTCCCAATCCCATCTTGCTTCATTTACTCTTCTCCTATCCCCTTAACCCCCATGTTGCATCTCCTCTCCCTCATATCAGGGAGATCATATGATAGTTGTCTTTCTCCGATTGACTTATTTCGCTAAGCATGATACCCTCTAGTTCCATCCACGTCAACGCAAATGGCAAGATTTCATTTCTTTTGATGGCTGCATAGTATTCCATTGTGTATATATACCACATCTTCTTTATCCATTCGTCTGTTGATGGACATCTAGGTTCTTTCCATAGTTTGGCTATTGTAGACATTGCTGCTATAAACATTCGGGTGCACGTGCCCCTTCGGATCACTACGTTTGTATCTTTAGGGTAAATACCCAGTAGTGCAATTGCTGGGTCATAGGGTAGTTCTATTTTCAACATTTTGAGGAACCTCCATGCTGTTTTCCAGAGTGGTTGCACCAGCTTGCATTCCCACCAATAGTGTAGGAGGGTTCCCCTTTCTCCGCATCCTCGCCAGCATCTGTCATTTCCTGACTTGTTAATTTTAGCCATTCTGACTGGTGTGAGGTGGTATCTCATTGTGGTTTTGATTTGTATTTCCCTGATGCCGAGTGATATGGAGCACTTTTTCATGTGTCTGTTGGCCATCTGGATGTCTTCTTTGCAGAAATGTCTGTTCCTGTCTTCTGCCCATTTCTTGATTGGATTATTTGTTCTTTGGGTGTTGAGTTTGCTA